ACCGCCAGTCTCCCCTGATCAGCCCCGCTTCCCCCAACCCCCTCCCAGCTAGCCCTGTTCCCCGCCGGTCGGTTCCCCCTCCCTCCGATCTCCCCCAGCCAGCCCCACTCCCCTCCCAGCCAGTCCCCACTCCCTCCCTCATCCCATTCTGAGATCACGTGTGTCCAGTAGTTTTTTGAAACCCATCTGGTAACCCTACAGATATCCGCAGCTCATTTTTGCGGATGCAGATATAAGATTTTGCATCTGCAGCCCTGTTCCCCGCCGGTCGGTTCCCCCTCCCTCCGATCTCCCCCAGCCAGCCCCACTCCCCTCCCAGCCAGTCCCCACTCCCTCCCTCATCCCATTCTGAGATCACGTGTGTCCAGTAGTTTTTTGAAACCCATCTGGTAACCCTACAGATATCCGCAGCTCATTTTTGCGGATGCAGATATAAGATTTTGCATCTGCAAAGGGCTCTATATGTCAGAACAATCTGTCTCATTGGCAGCTACACCTTAATTTTTAAAAAGTCTATTTTCTCTATTTTTACACAGTAGTTGTTATACTAACGCACTTGTCATTCTGTAATATTTGACGCCTCAATCTCTGCTTTTCCTATTTTCTACTTAATTAGAAAAATTAGGGTCCCAATTTGTTGCTAATAACTTTACATTACCGTTGTCAGGTTTATACTTTAAAAAAAACCTTGAAATCTCTGTAACCTGTAATAAGAACTAATTGTACCCACTGTTTTACTGATTTTTTTTTTAACCTGTTTGACCTACTCACACCTTCATATTTCAAGAAAGAGGAAATATTTAATACCACAGTATGCTTCCTATTTAGGGAATAATTTTCTCCTTTTAGATTTAGATATCAAACTACAGTATGACTCCTCTTGAGAGTTTCAGAATTACTTCTGTTATCTTTTTTTCAAATGCCCTAACATTTCTAAAATTGCCACTTCTAAAATAAAGGCTGCTATAACTTAATTGATGTTCTTCTTTTTAACTTATATCAAGCTGAATCATTTTTTAAATGACATAAGTACTTGGGAATTGATCAGAATAAAAGCCTGTTGGTACTGAAACAAACTACTTTGCCATCCAACACTCCAGTCATCTGAAGAAGTGGGCTGTGCCCACGAAAGTGCATGATACCATCTACATGTTTTGTTCGTCTTTAAAGTGCTATCAGACTATTTGTTGTTTTTTAAGTTTTTACTTTGCAAGTGTGTTTTAATGGAATCTGGGTTGCACTGATGCCTGTATATCTGGACTTTGTATAGCAATATTAGTAATGCTGCAGTTAGTATGTATTGTATTTTAATTATGCAATAGTTGTTACTATGGGACATGAGTAGTATTAAACTTTATGGTTTCTTATGTGTACATATTTAGAATGTTTGCTTCTCTACCTTCTAGTGCCAAAAGATGAGTCGAGGGTACTCGGAAAACAACAACTTTCCATATGACAATAATCAAATGGTTTTGGACATGATCCTGTACTCTTTAATCAGTGTTCCACAGCCTATCAACTGGGACAGCGTGGCAAGGCTGGTTCCAGGATTTACATCCAAAGAGGTAACTTTATTAACCGTTGGTATGTCTTGTCCAGAGAAGTACACTTTTATCTGGAAAGGTGAGGAAATGGTTTTCTAAAGTTACTTGTCTTTAAATAGGGATGTTAAATATTGATTAATTGAATAGTCGAGTAACTTCATGAATTCTTATCAGTCAGTCAACTATTCTGTAGTCCCCAGGGGTGAAACCACCAGCCAGTGCAACCCAGCCTCACTCCTGAGGAGCCCCCTGCCATTCCATGCTGTGGCCTCTGGGGTGCCAGGCAGGAGATGGCTCCCCTCACGGACCATTTTAAAAAACAGCTCCCCTCATGGACTGGCTGCCTGTCACCCTGTGGGATGGCAGCAGCCCTTGTCTGCAGAGATGGGATCTTAGATCCTGGACCTGGAATAAACCAGAACTGAGCCTGGCTGCCTGCCCGCCCAGCTCCTAATACACTTTAAATGCAGAGCTGCAGCAGGCGTAGCTCCTGGACCCTTTGCAAGCCAGGACTGAACCAGGCTGCTGGCCAGCCTGCTAAAAATGTACTTGAAAGGGGCAGGGGAATACATGTAGTCTATAGGATTAACCTATAGGCTTCTGCTTATGGGTTAATCAACTACACTATTACATTCCTATTCTTGAAGGACCCAAAAGAATTAAGCAATATGTTAGAAAAGCAAATAGGAAGGCATTACAGAACTTCCACATTCAAGATATAGGTCAACCAATATTTGTAACTTGAATGAAGAATGTGCACCTTCTAGCCAAAGGTATATTACTTGGAATTATTCAAAATTAATTCCTTGTAGGTATTTTATCTGATATTTGATCTCTTTTCTCAATTAAGATAATATCACCGGACAGTAGAAAAGTGGTAGAAAAGACTCTGTTTTAGGATATGCAGAGCCTTTTTAGAAAGCTGTTGAAGTTATAGTGGTGCCCTGGTGATCTCAAGTGACTATTTAATCCATTAGACTTTGGCGAAGTTAAAATACATTCTCTCAAACTCCCATGTGAATTTTCCCATTGAGTTTAATTAGTCTATTGTTATATGTAAAGTTACTCTTATGTGTAGTGGATTAAGGCCTTATTTTACATTGAAAATCTCCATCTAATAAGTGAGCCCCAAATTTAAGTCTGCTTGTTTTTTGTTTTGTTTTTTAAAAAGCCTAATATTAGATGCTCTTCTTTGTGGAGTGTCCTTGTGAGTGCTCCACCTTAGGTGTTTGAGTGCTGCTGCGCCTCAAGTTGGAGAATTATTATAGCAGTGCCCTAGGTAGGCTGCACAAATGGAGCAGCCAACACATGCTGTTTGGAGTGGTTACCCCGCATGTGCAACCAATCTTCCCTTCCTTTTCTGTCACCGTTGGGCATCAGTCAGAACCCAGCAGTCACCCTTACCAATCTATTAGATTTCTAGTTAGTTGTAGAAATCGGATAGTTATTTGTTAGTTATGTCATAGTTACAGTTAATCGTTAGTATTTTTTATTAAAACTGTTTTGGGGGTTTTTACTGTTCCTGCTGTTGTGGTACTTTTTGGACATGCCTGGATCTCCAGGTTTTAAAGAAGTGTCTGACTTGCAGACATTCAATCCCAGTATCTGGGGGACACTCGCAGTGTGTCCTGTGCTTGGGTCAGAAATGCTCAACTAGTAAGTGACCACACTGCAAGAACAAGGGATGAGAGAGAAGGTCCTCTCCTGGCTCAGTAATTAGTTTAAAAATATGAAACCAAATGGGAGGAATAAATAGTTTTTATAACAGAGAGGTAAGTGCAGTGGTCCACCAAAGGTGCTTTAAGACCAAAGCAGACTGTGAAGAGCTTCAAAAAGATCTGACAAAATTAAGTGATTGGGCAACAAAATGGCAAGTGAGATTTAATATTGGTAAATGTAAAGTAATGCACACTGGAAAAAGTAATCCCAACTATACATGCAGTATGATGGGGGACTAATTTAATTATTACTACTCAAGAGAGAGAGAGATCTTGGAGTCATTGTGGATAGTTCTTTGAAAACAACCACTCAATGTGCAGCGGCAGTAAAAAAAGCAAACAATGTCAGGAATTGTTAAAAAAGGGATAGAGAATAAAACCGAATATCTTATTGCCTCTATATAAAACCGTAGCACGCCCACACCTTGAATACTGTGAACGGATATGGTTGCTTCATCTCAAAAAAGATATAGTGGCACTGGAAAAGGTTCAGAAAAGGGCAACAAAAATTAGAGGGTTTGGAACAGGTTCCATATGAAGAGAGATTAAAAAGACTTGGACTTCTCATCTTAGAAAAGAGGAGGCTAAGGGGGGTTATGATAGAGGTCTATAAAATCATGAACAAGGAAAAGTTATTTACTTCCTCCCATAACACAATTAATTTAAATTACCTAATTAATTTAAATAGGTAGCAGGTTTAAAACAAAAAAAGGAAGTTTTTCTTCAGATAGCCTATGGAACTCCTTGCGAGAGGAGGTTGGGAAGACCAGGATTTAAAAGGGTTCAAGAAAGAACTAGATATATTCATGGCTGTTAGGTCCATCAATGGCTATTAGCCAGGATAGGTAGGAATGGTGTCCCTAGCCTCTGTCAGAGGTGGGGAATGGGTGACCAGAAAGGGATTACTTGAAGATTCCCTGTTCTTTTCACTCCCTCTCCGGCATCTGGCATTGGCAGAAGACAGGATACTGAGTTTTGGTCTAACCTAGTATGGGTGTTCTTATGTTCTAAGGGTCTGTCCTGGTAATTGTTCTGTTCAAAATATTAATAAATCCCTTGGAAAAAGGGATGGACAGTGAGGTGGCAAAATTTGCAGAGAATACAAAATTACTCAATCATTAATTCCAATGCTGACTGTGAATAGTTACAAAGTGATTTATCTAAATGGGGTGACTGATTTAACAAAACGATAGATTAAATTCAGTGTTCAGTACAAAATAATTCACATTGAAAAAAATATTCCAAATTAGCTATTACCACTCTATAAAGAGATCTTTGGAATATCATGGACATTATGGAAATTGGTCAGGGATGCAACCCAATGCTGCAGGTGTTCTAAGCCTCTAACTACCAGAAACTGGGACTGGACAACAGAGGATTTCCCTGTTCTGTTCATTTCTGAAGCAGCTGGCATTGGCCACTGTCAGAAGACAGGATACTGGGGTAGATGGTCCATTGGTTTGACCCAGTACTGCCAGTTTTAATTTCTTGTGTTCTTATTTTACAGGTATATCTAGTTTAGTAATTTCAGGTGGCATATCTCACGGGTAAAGAAGCTAGGTTTTAAAATATCTGTCATGTTAAGGTTAAGTTACTGTGTGGTTTAATCAATCTATCTGACGTTTTAACATTCTTGATTTGGATTCAGTTTAGAACCCAATGTTGTTGACCAATTAGGAGTTGGTATATGTATCTTAAAACTTTTTAACCAAACCGTGTACTTTTGGATAATCTAAGCACTACATCCAGACATTTACAGACATTTTTTCCTTAACCTATGTATAAGATAGTTTAACATTGGCTTGAATACAATGTTTTAACTATGATGCAATCAATCTCTTGGCAGTGTGCAAAAAGGTTTGATGAACTGAAAAGCAGTGGAAGTTCACCTGTTGACAATCAGTACAATCCATTAATGGCTAGTGGCGGGAGTCCTGTTGAAAGCCTTGCTACGTATATCAAATCCTCTCTGCTGGATACCCAGGGGGAGTTTCAAGAGCCTTCCGTTGGGCAGAATACAATTTCCATAAGTGGTAAAATTCTGTGACTTCAATTATAATACTGTATCCACTGTTTTTATTTTGTTGGTAAACATGTTTCTGTAATTAATAGTTAATAATCTTCAAATAAGTTAGCCACAAATACTAATACATAGGGTTACCAGATGGTTTCAACAAAAATACCAGACACACTTGATAAAAATTTGTCAACCCCCAAAAAAATGATATGGGAAGTTTATCGACAACAATCTACATTACATCTTATATTTTACATTAGATTGTGTGGCTTTTATCAGTTTTTTTTATTTGTCAAAAACTCATCTTTTGCTTCCAAACAAGTGAAAGGTATTTTAAAAAAATCACAAAGTTGACTTCTTACTGACTCAACGCTCAATTTGTTGTGTTCATTGGTCCATAGATTACCCATAACACTAAAAATTCTTTCCACACCAGCATTTGACACAGGAATTGAAACAGATATTGAACTAGTTTTAATAAATTTGGAGCAGCAGGTTCTTTGCTGAAAAAATATTCCTTACCTTAAAAGAGCACTGTGAGATATGAGAGAGATGAAAGCGAGACAAAGGACAACACTGTTGCAAATCAGACGTGTATAAAAGGAAAATATTCAGCACTACTGCGTAGTTGCGTACTGATATGCGTATGCAAGTGGTGAATCAGCATAATAGCACATTCCACAGGCCTAGAGAGTGAGCGAGAATACTCGTGCGCAAGTTACATCATAACATGATACTAAAAAAACTTACTTAATTAGAAAATATAATACCTTTATATGTCCGGTATTTTCTCAAGTTTTGTCCAGGACAGAAAGCTCAAATACCGGACTGTCCGATTCAAAACCGGACATCTGGCAACCCTACTGATACTTAAACTAAAATAACTTTATTTCCAACTGAGTCAACCTATTTAGTATTTTAAGTAAAAAAAATTTTATAGTTTGTGGCTTTTAAAAATATAGTTACCATAACATTCAATTTTGACCTGCTTAAAATGATGTACTTGATTTTGTACTAAATCTTTCTGGTACATTCTTGGCAGCTTTGTAGACACAGGTAGATAATGTCAGAACTTACAGCTTTAGGTGACAATAGTTGCGATTTTAAGATGATTAGAAAATCTCTAAAGAAAGCAAAGGAGCAGTAAAGCATTGTGTTGGTAATTTTTTTATATTTCACTCTTCCCTCCTCCCCTTCCCCCTCC